TCTAAGACATGGTGAAAACACAGCAGACAGTATTACGAAACAAATACTTTAAAAAGCTCTTAGTATAAAACATCCTATAAATCCCACACATTCTCATACAAACATGTGAAAATAGCCCTGGCTCAAGGCTCTTTAAATTTTTCTAACCCAATGTTTTATAACCCTGTAAATTTTGCCTTTTATTTTAGATATCAGATAAATACATTGTATTTTTACTGTTATTTGCATTAAAAAAAAAAAAAAAGATCAAAAGTAGTTTATTAATACACCAAATGTAAAATTTGAACATTGCCCAAAAGCAACTGTAAGTTTCATTTTACCAATGTGCACATAGCATGTAGTGCAAATTAGGGTGGATTAACTTTTTTTTTTTTTTTTAATTCAGAGATCACGAAGCTTTGGAGTTCAAGACACCCTTATTTATAGCCTTTGTGGCAGCCTTAACCTGAAATGAAGAGACATTAAGGGCCTCTGAAGCTGACCTAAGTAAACTAACTCAGTATGTCTGATAAGAATTAAAGGTGAACATTTGCTAGAAACAAAAATAAATAAATAAAAATCTCATGTTTCTAATTTTATGCCAGCAGTTCATACAGTATGTATAATATTTAAACATGCTCTAATTCTTATGTGTCAAAACAATCATGTTCATTAATATTTCCATTGTGCCTGTACTACTTTTGGCATATGATTTTATAAGAAGCATTCCCTAGCTACTTCTCATCAAGGAAAGCAAGAGAAACGAGAATCAAAAATTACAACTATATCCAAATTACATATTGACACAATCAGTGCTTAACTAAACTTGTTTAGAGACTTGAAGAGGACCAAAAAAAATAAATAAATCCAGGAACCTTGTAAAATACTGCTGATCTTGGAAATCATTTTCCACCAGGGAGAGAATCCATTTGCCCTAAGAGAACTTTTTTCTTTCTCTCCCTGTTGAAAACATATTCCCCACCCCATCATAGTCATGGCAAAATGCAGTTTCTAATGTTTCAATAAAGTAAAGAGAAATTTTGTAAGCTTTTTGTTCTCTTTAAAGTAATTTCTCTGTACTCCCCAGTTATGTTAAAACATGATATTCAGATAGAAAAGACAATACAGTAAATCTGAGAAAGGAAAAAAATGCAGAGCACTTTGATGAGTGTTAGCTATTTTCTAAGGAATTTATCGGGCTTGCTTAAAACTTTTATAAACTAGCTGACAATACTTCTCTTCAGACTGGCTGCAGTTATTTGAGAGGTCTTAAATATCATTCATCTCTATAACCTCATTGGCAGTAAGCATTAAAATTAGGGAACGATGGTTGAAGTAAAATTGGAGTAAAATCTATATCATTTCAGCTACACTTGTGAACTGTCATTAGAACAAACCCATCGATACAGGATGCAAGTGAAAAGAGTTACCGTAGTCAAGGACCAAAGGCACTTTAAATTGTTGGGCTGTATTTTTTGAATGCCTTGGGGAAAAGAAGTTAAATCAATATGCAAAGTCCCTTGGCACTCCTAATGCAAAATCTCAGGAGCACTGGTATGAATTATTGAAACAATTGTTTTCAATGAAAAAGTGTATTCATTTACATACTGGATAAGAGCATGGGAACAACGCTATGCAATTGACTGCAAGTAGGAGAGCAAGAGATCTGAGAATTTTTGGGGGGAGCTTCTTTTTTTGGAAAGCTTCTACTCTGCTGGAAACATCTCTGCAGCCTAGAAAGAAACACACTCTGGAAAGCATACAAAACTTAGATAAGCTCCATGAAAGCACTGGATGATATGGGGCTTTTTTTTTTTTCCCTCCCTGCTGTTTTTCCTCCCCCTGGACTTCTAGTTGTTGCTTTTCAGAATCTGTGGAATAAAGCACCAACTACTCCCTGTCTTCAGCCCTTGACATTCAAATAGCTGAGCCAAAAACCTCAAAAGAATAGACAAAACTGCTGATAACATACAAACTTCTCAGTCCTGGCCTGACTCAGATTCCTAATGAAACTGACACAGGCGTGGCACAGGTTTATCTGATTCTCTGCCTCTCTACTGCATTCTTTGGTGGGAAGCCCTAGCAGCTGGTGTGTAAGGTACAGACTTCTGAGGCAGCTTAAGATGGAGGGTTACCAGGATGTTTTCTGTTTCTAGGAAGTTTTATACTCGCTCCTTCTTCCTAGGGGTTTTCAGTTGTTCTTTCTTTAATCTACAATGAAAATCATCTAGATGGAGGGCATTTTTTTTTTTTCTGTGTATTTAAAAAAAAAAAAAAAAAAAAAAAACAACAACAACAACAGAGGCACGACCTTCACTTGCGGGGGGTTGTTACACACATTCCAGGCAGCTCTGATCATATTTCACTACCCTGGAAGTGATTGTGATGTCCAGAACACTGAATTATGTCACTAATTAAGGAATCGGGCAGGAGGTAGCTGATTATAAGGGAGAGAGAATCTGTACTTACACAGAAGTATTTTCATAATCAGCGATGATAGAAAGGGAAATAAAGAAAAATTACCTTGTGCTTAATACAAGTGTTCTGGTATATTGTTTTTAGATATTGCTCTCTATATAGAAAATGCTATTTAGCTTCAGTGGCCAGCTAAAAGCAAATCACAGGTTTTAATAACCTTGTTTTGTATGAAGAAAAAAGACACAGAAGGGTTTTGTTTTGAGTAGCAAACTTTCATAATTTTAATTTCTCTCAAAGAACATATGAGAAAAATGCATGGTAAGTGCCATAATCCGTTTAAATTCTCTTTTTTTTTTTCATGTTGATTTTACCTGAAATGCAGTGTGCAGCATGCAGGAGCAAGAATACTATTTACTAGAGTATCAGAGATTAGCTCATTAATGGGTTCAAGCAACTGGCCATGCGTCAGCATAACATTAGAGGCTAACTGATTTCCCTCCTCTATAAGCCACTCACACAACTGAGCATTTGCAAATCATCTCAAGATACATGTCAGAGAGAGAGAGATGACAGTGTTAAAGAAACACATTTTTCATTTATTCTATTAGTAATACACACTACTGAATGTGTTATAGTGCAGATAATAAAAGAGACATATTTTTAAAGCAGTTTGGCAAGCCAGAACACACATTGCCTAGAATTCGTTGGTTTTTTTTTTCCTGTAAGACACTATTCAAGCAACATTTCACTGAACAACAACATAGGATTTGGTGAAATTATGGTTTTGCCAAATTCCCTGCATACTTGTATGTGGATTTTCAAAGAGGTATTTGATTTTTTTTCTTAGCCATATAAAAAGAAAAGAACTATAACAACAACCACAAAAAAATAAAAACCTTAGTTGATGTTAAGCAAAACAGCCAAAGATAGGCACGTGAGTAAATTCCTGACTAGATCAGAGCCTTAAAATGAGGAAATTACAGAGGTTATGCAAACCAGTCACTGATGTGCCTTCTTAACCCAAATGCCAGAAGGGTCACTGTGTAATATGCACAGATGCCAGGTAGAATTTGTAAATGGTCACTAGGTATACCTCACAAGTGCACAAAACATTCATGATTTGAAATATAGAGAAGTGGTTAGGTTACAGATGTAGTTTCCTGTCTCTCCCTGTATTTTTGCTTCAGTTAAAGGCAAGATTACTCTAAGACCGCTGCAGCAATCTTTCATTCCCATATGAATGAAAATATCACTTGTCAGCCATCCTTCAGAAAACTGAATTGCAAAATGACCCTAAAAACAATACTGACTGGCCCTTTATCAGTTGCTCACAGAAAAAGAAGTCCATGAGTGTAGCCTTCAAGAGGTGAAAGTAGGCAACATCAAAAACCATCAGGAACAAGCGTGGTGAAAGTAGGCAACATCAAAAACCATCAGGAACAAGCGTCTGAAATTTTAAGTACTTGGTTATTCTAGTAGCAAGAAACAAGCCAACAAAATTGGTACACTAACTAAGATAACAACCTCAGATGACACCAACACCACATCCCATAATGAGAGCGTAGAACAGCTCTGAATGTTAAATTTTAAACAAATCAATTCCAGCTGTTCTTACACCAAAATAAAATGGTTAACTAGTGTGTTATAAGTTGCCCCCTTAATTAATTTTCAGAGAGCATTGCATTAATAATAGAAAGGAATTTATTGAGTAAGCAACAGCAAGCAAAACAGCGCTGGGCGGCCAGGGAGTCTCGGCTCCACCAACGGCGAGCACCTCACCCCCCCCAGGGTCCCTTTTTATACCTTGGTAATTCCGGGATTACGCAGCGCATCCTGGTATATTCTGCGACTGGGCGCGCTGTTGCTAGGGGGTCGTCTCTGTCCCTCTGGTGGTCGTGAAGATGAAGGCCATAGTCTTCCTTGGCACTGTGGTTCAACTTCTTTTTTTTATTTGGTCATGTTGGACCAGCGTGAGATGGGAAGGCAGGATGTTGATACATTAGTTTAGCAACTTATCAGGAGATGGTTACATGAGGTTTGCAGCAGTGCCTTTAAACAAAAGAGGCAACTGAGATGCAGAAGGAGAGAAGGGGGGGGGTCTCTTTTTTGTTACATTAAGCAAAAGAATTTTCATAGTGTCTAGCCAAGCATTATACAGCTCCTTACTTCAGCAGGGAGTTTTCACAACTCCTGTTTCTCAAACAGAACTCCTTGTTTTTACAAAAGACAATGAACAAACATTTATTGTGTATTACAATCCCTCCTTTTTCTTTTAGTTACTCATTTTGTTCATTGAAGCTCTGCAATGCCTGGCTACTAAGAACTAATGTTTCCTCGATTCCTTCGTTGGTACTTATTGGCTCGTATCTGGCATGTATGAGCATTAAATGTGCCGCTTCTAAATGTCCCTTTACAATCGCAATCAATTTATTAAAAATACATGGTCCAAAAGTTAGTGCTATTATTAAGAACAACAAAGGTCCTGTTATTGTTGATAATAAAGTAGTAGGCCAAGGTGAACAATTAAACCAAGATTCATACCAGCTCTGTCGGGCTTCATTCTCCCATTTCCTTTTTTTTTTTTTTTTTTTTTTTTTTTTTTCCAACCCTTCCCTGGGTCTTGCCATTGTATCTCTTACCTCTCCGGTGTGATCAGCATACACACAGCATTCCTCTTTTGGGGCTGCACACAGCCCGTCCTGTTGTAAAAAAATACCAAATCTAATCCCCTATGATTTTGTAACACTACCTCTGAAAGCAACCTGATAGATTTTCCAGGGCCGAGATGGATTGTTCAATTTGGGTCAGGTCCTCGTCCACAGCAATGTGTAAGAAGCAAATTCTTGATTTTGTTTAACCAATGAGGCTACCCTGGTCCCCACTCCAGCTCCTCCCAGGATTATTAGGGTGGCCAAAGTTAGAGCCGTGAATGGTTCCCATCTTTCCAGATGATGCCTTGCCACTGTGTGCTGGGTATACATACAATCCTCAGGGTGGTATAGAATCCTTGGTATAATTATCACCTGTATACAAAAATCACAAGACGCATTAAAGAGTTTTAGTGATAGACAAGGAGTTACGCCCACTCACGAACAAACCCACCTAGCGTTGTTGGCTGGGATTAACCACTCAGCTGATTGTTTTCCATTCTCCGTGATATTGCATAGGTGACACTTCCCACTAGGAACTGTGCCCACACACCTACCACCTCCAGTGACTTCTGTTAGTGTTACCCTTATGTCTTTTCCCAACTGTAATGTAGAGGGCTGTTCTCGTTTGTGCGGGAAGGCTCCCCAGGATTCCCGATAGCATCATAATATGAAGGCCTTATACTAAAGCATAATCAACAGTGTTTTGTTACATTTGGGGTTGTTTTGTTTAATTATTGGTAGCTGGCATTCATGACCCCCCCATATGTTATTCTCAGCTATGTTACCATTCTCGGCTTTACCTGAGCTCGTAGGGCTGCCGAGGGTTGGAAGTGTAGTATTTTCCGCAGGCTGGATTCCCTGGACATTTTCTGACAATACCTCATTTGGTCCTACTGCCTGGGGCCTATCGGCATCCTCCTTTTTATTAGTATGAGTCCTCCCCTATCTGTTCTGTGTTTGTAAAATCTGACACCTCACATTTTTCCTAGTACCCAGCTAGTATCATCCAAGTTTGTTATATTTATATATAGAACCTTGCAAATTTCTTTATTTCCATGGAAGGTTCCTGTATACCCTATACCATGCCCTCACCACCTGTAACGGGGACCTGCTTGTTGGTTACAACCTTGCGGCCCATATCCCACTTGTAAGAATTTATTCCGACCAGCCCCGAGTGTCCAGTCCATAGCAATGGTTTCACACCCCCAGTATGCACAATAATACATGTTCGGGTAATTACAGTACCCCTTTCCTGTGTTAGAACTTGGGCAGAAATAAAATCCTGATCGGTTAAAGCATGGCTGCACTGACACAAGGTCACATAATGTGATGCAGAAACTGGGAGCACCTGCTGTCATTGTTTGCTGGATGACGAATTGATCCTTCCATCTGATCAAGCTCCATTTAAAAGGCTGATGGGGATGCGCAGACCCATAGCTGACCAAAACGATGATACTGACTCCCATGTATCGTAGGAGGTGGTTGGAGCCCATCTAAATTGTCGGCCCCTCAGTCCCCCACCGTTTTCACTTCTCTGCCTCGCTTGTCAGTTCGGTTGCAGCGAACTACAAGGTATCGGTTCTTCTTGGCAGCAGCAGTGTTCTTCAGGGGAACCTACTAGGGAGCCTTTGAAACAGGGCCTCCTCCCCTTCCCATGATACACAGATAATATAAAATACTTATCGAGTCCGTCTTAGTGTCAGCTTCAAGTCGTCAGGGCCTGGAGCTGCCTCCCATTTACCTTCCCGGATTGGTCCTTTCACACGGCTGGCATGCGTCCATCTTTTCTCCGCAGTTTGAATAGCCGTTTCTGTGGTAAGCAAAACAACATAGGGGCCTTCCCCATCATGGTGTTAAAGCAGTCTCTTTCCAAGTCTTAATTAGAATTGAGGGTGATCAAGTAGCAATTCCAAGTCATAGGGCATACCATATAGCATTTCAAAAGGAGAAATTCCTACATCAGTTCTGGGCTGTGTCCATATGTTTAACAGTGCAAGGGGTAAGCATTTTACCCAAGAAGCCTTAGTTTCCAGCACAAGTTTTGTTAGTTGTTTCTTAATTTCACCATTCATTCACTCTTCCTTTCCAGAAGAAGAGGGGTGCCAGGGGCTGTGAAAATCCCACTCAATCTCTAAGTCCTGCTTTAATCCTTGCAGTAAAGCTTTACACCCATTCAGTCACGTGGTCAATTAGGACAAACAAGTAACTCAGTAAAGTCTACCTGTATACTTTGGAAAGGTCAAAGCCCTGGCTCCCGTCCCCCTCTAGATAGGTTACAGAAGACCTTTTTATTTACCTTTTGACATATAGTACATCCTCTGCATGTGTGCTTCTCTAAAGTATATATATTCCTACATAGACATGCTTTCTTAGAACAACATCACACATTGCTTGCACCTCCCAATGACTCTTCTGATGTAAAACAGTTAATATGTGCCTCATTATCACTTTATTCAGCATTTCTCTCCCATCAGGGAGTATCGATTTTCCTTAAAATGATCCACATATTTGTAACATTAATACCTCCTTGGGAGGTTGTAATTGCTCCAAAATCTTTTTTAGAATTTACCCAAATAGATAGGTGGCCCTGTAAACTTCTGAGGTAAAATTGTCCACCTATATTGTTGCTTCCGCCCCCATTTCAGGGTCTTTCCAGTCAGAGGTGAATATACATGTATGTTTGCTCTCAGGGCCAGAGAGCACTCCATTAATAACACTGTTATTCCAGTCTAACAATTTACTAGTTGAATGCCCAATTTAATCATCAAATCCCTTCCCAACAAGTTAGTCTCTGCCTTGGATACATACAATAATTGCCCAGTGATCATTTTATCCCCTAGTCTCAGCTTGGTATCCCCCAAAATTGGCACTGTTATCCCAGTCCCTTCTACCCCCATCACATTTAGGGTTTCATTAGTTAATTTAATCCCTGATACTTTACAAGTAACAGCAGTTGGGAGAGCGAGAAACCCCCCCGCAGACACCAAAGTCAGTGCAGAAGGAGGGGGAGGAGGCGCTCCAGGTGCTGGAGCCGAAGCCCCCCTGCGGCCGCTGGAGAGGCCCCTGGTGGAGCAGGCTGTTCCCCCCTCCCCGATGCTTGGGAAACTGAACAAACACCACAGCAAATATGCAAATATACCAAAACTTCTAGACTGTTACTTAGATAATGCCTACATCACCTTTCCCTGGTCATTCAACTTCGAATACCTTTAACACTTTCAACAAACCTTTTAACACTTCCTTTATCTTTCTCTAGCCTTTACTTTTCTAATGCCGACATCAAAGGCTCAGTCAGGGGCCAACTTAATTCCGTACCTTTTCCCTCCAAGATGCTGAAACAACATCAATATACATTTCATCCTGTTTTCCTTCTTTCCACAAAAACAACATTGACTGTAATATGGTGTTATAATTAATACTTCCATTTAGGGGCCACTCCGCTCCATCCTCTAGTTTATAAAGTGGCCACCACTGATTACAATATTTGATAAGAGTTCTTTTACTCTCTGTACACTCTCACCCCACTATATCCCTCCAATGTGTTAGTATACATCCTAGGAGGCTTTTCCTCGGGATTTCTTTGCTTTGAACTTTTCCTATTGTAATCTACAGTGGTTAATATTCCACCGTTTTCCTAGAAGCTCTTTACTAGTCAATCCCAATCCCTCCAAAATCCACAATATATAGATACACAAGTAAAATCAGACCACTGTAAATTAACTGCCTGTAGACAATTACACTGGGAACATTTAAACCTGATGAGCCGATAATATGCCTGGGCAAATTTTGTTCCCTTAGACATGCTCCTCAATGGCAGTTCTTATATTTACATATTTACATATTAACATATGTATAAAAGAACACTTTAACAAGAATGCCCGGGCTTTTATATATACAATATGCAATGTACAGTTATTATTCTAGTTAGAATTATTCCTCAGCAGCTGGAAACATTATGGCAGTTGCCATTAAAGCTCGCTTACCCTCCTCCTGTCTTTCTTAAAATCTCGGACGTCCCCGGAGTTAATGGGGACGGCCACATATTCCTAGTCACTGGTCCCTGAGCGCTAGAGTCAGAGTCGCTATCAGAGTCTCCCTGGGGTTGCAGATTAGGAAGCCCGGGAGTCGGAGGGGCTGCAGATGGTGGTGGTGAAATATAGGGAGGCAGTGGGGCTGGGGTCTCTAATTCTCGGTTTTTCTTGTGCCTCTCATTCCCTCCTTTTTCTTTTAGAGGATATAAATTGGCTCGAGTTTCTGAGCTGATCCACAAATGTGCATATTCACTTTCTTCCAAACTAAAAGGTTCCTTTGAGTTTACATAAATATTTAGGGCCTGGCAAACCCAATCTTCAAAGGACCCAAATACGGGCCAGTAAAGGTGGTCTCCTCAAATCTGTTTATCACCCCAAACTTCAACACAATAATGTATCATTTTTACTTTATTCCTTCCCCGCCTAAAAGGGGAATCCTCCCAATTTTTAATCATTAATCCCGGGGTAACCTAACATCAGACGTTACCCCGCCCATGGGACCAGAAGGCTTACTCTTCTTCTGTCCCATCTTCTGGAGCGCCTTCACACACACACACACAAATCGCTTCCCCCTTTTCGTGGCCCAGTCCCTCACGGGATGTGGGAACCGCACTACCGAGGGGTCCGCACTCGCTTCGTCCGCAATTGGACGTCTCACAACGCTACGCTCCAGGATACCCAACCCCAACCGAACGGATCACCGGCCAATACTTACTCACTCCTGAGTCTTCGTTCGGTCTTCGTGCACAAAGATTACTAGGGGTTGCCGGCTTTATTTGCTTGCTGCCGAATTTAGGGTTCGTCGGTGAAGGATTTGAATGAAAGTAGTCCTAGCGAAGGCCGCTGAAATCAGCAGGGCGCCCCCTCCGAAGGTCTTTCAATCAGATTGCCTTCATCCGAGTCACGGCACCAAATTTGTTATAAGTTGCCCCCTTAATTAATTTTCAGAGAGCATTGCATTAATAATAGAAAGGAATTTATTGAGTAAGCAACAGCAAGCAAAACAGCGCTGGGCGGCCAGGGAGTCTCGGCTCCACCAATGGCGAGCACCTCACCCCCCCCAGGGTCCCTTTTTATACCTTGGTAATTCCGGGATTACGCAGCGCATCCTGGTATATTCTGCGACTGGGCGCGCTGTTGCTAGGGGGTCGTCTCTGTCCCTCTGGTGGTCGTGAAGATGAAGGCCATAGTCTTCCTTGGCACTGTGGTTCAACTTCTTTTTTTTATTTGGTCATGTTGGACCAGCGTGAGATGGGAAGGCAGGATGTTGATACATTAGTTTAGCAACTTATCAGGAGATGGTTACATGAGGTTTGCAGCAGTGCCTTTAAACAAAAGAGGCAACTGAGATGCAGAAGGAGAGAAGGGGGGGGGTCTCTTTTTTGTTACATTAAGCAAAAGAATTTTCATAGTGTCTAGCCAAGCATTATACAGCTCCTTACTTCAGCAGGGAGTTTTCACAACTCCTGTTTCTCAAACAGAACTCCTTGTTTTTACAAAAGACAATGAACAAACATTTATTGTGTATTACAAGTGTATTTGTTAAGTCATAATCAATGGGTAGTTCTCTCAGTTTTCAAGGACTACACACACATTGCTACAGGACACCTAAATGATCTGTGAAAAAGGATTCATGGGAAGTCTAAATTTACATTTCCAAGGAAACTTTTACTAGGAAAAGGTTAGAAATTTACATTTTCAAAATTAAAGTCCTAATTCTCTTTTACAGGCACTTCAAATTTGAAGTCTCATTCTGAGAAAAAGAGCACGCCACATTGCCAGATTATTAATATTGAATAATTTCTCGGCTGTGTTTCAACATGTTTTTTTTTTGGGGGGGGTCTTTTGCTTTAGTCCCCCTCAGAAACATCCATTCCACTATTTTTGTCTTTTCACTTGGAAGACATGGAGCTCTGGAGAGGTAGACTGAAGGAAAAGTCTTTGATATCTTTGTGCTATCACCTGCAGTGTGCATCAGCAGGGAGCGAGAGCACACAGCAGTGCAAAAGCCAGCTTGTAACTCTGAAAACCCACTGCCAAAACACCACAGCAAGAGAGAGAGAGACAGCAACTTGGCTCGAAGTGTGGCTCCAGCACTAATGCGGCAGAAATCCCAATGCTTAGCAGACCTGAGGTGGGGAAGATCTCAGCTGACAGGCTCCCCATTCAAGCTAGTCTCATTCACTCTCTATTCTATCTTTTTTTTTTTTTTTTTATGTTTTTATGTTTACACTCTAAAGGTTACTCTCTAGTTATACTGCTCTATAAATGAGACAAAACTGCATTGAATCATTAAGCATCTTCATAGCTTTTATTTTCATTTAAGCTTATTTTCTCTTTTCATTACAAGACCATTTTGCCTCAGGAAATTTTCTTTTTCCATCTACATTCGCAAGCAACAAAGCCTATTTTTGCAAGGCTAAAAAGTAATATTCATCCATTTTTAAATACTGATTTATTGACTATAGAGTTGGGCTGTTTTTATTTCTTCTATCCCCCCACTACCACAAATATAACCTGAGCAGCTGCAGATGAATTAAAAAATAATTAAATTGTTTTTAGAAAGAAAGAATTGAGGATAGTAAAAAGAACTTTATATTTCTCCCTTCAGTGTCACTAGTTATCAATATACAGCTGCTCTCTCATGTAAAAAAAATGAAAAATTAAACTTAAAAAGTAACTGATGAAAGTTAAAAGTACGCCCTGAAGAAATCTAATACTGAACACATATTTAAATCATTTTTCCATAGATATCCATAATAAAGCATTTGATCATGTTTACTAATTTAGGAATAAGTGTGCACATTAACAAAAAAGAACTGTGATTGCTAGATTGCTAAATTCTACATAGCAGAATATGCAGGCGTTCTTTCACCAGACAAGTACATGATTTTTCTTCACATTACAGCAAACTATTCATGGACTTCAGTGGGGATGATGATACACCTCTTGTGGTATTTATTCTTAATGAGATTACACTAATCAAGCTTAAATTAACACATAATGCACGTTTATGCAGAATATTCCGCATGCATATACATGCAGAATTAGTGTGGATGTACACATATGCAGGCTGGTGAAAGTATTTCTAATCCCAGGAATAATGAGCATGTATTAGAAAGCTCTTACCATTAAGAAAATTGGTATCAAGAATTCTGCAAACATGCCAGGAGATAAAAGTCAACATATTAGAGCGGTCTGTTTCAGGGACAAATAAAGTATGCTATTATCTCATATACTATGGAATGCACAGAACTACAAACAGAAGTGTTTCAATTCAAAACAATATGAAATAATTCAAAATAAAATGAAAATTGTCTGAAAACAAACCATCAAAATTACACAGCAGAGTTGTTAATTATGATTATTTATGATCATTCAGAACTGGCATCATTATGATAGTTTTCCTTCCAAATTTCTCTAAGATGAATCACTCCACAGCAACTCAAGGATCTATAGGAATGACTTAGCAGCAGTTCACGGCTCTAAAAGGAGCCTTACCTAAGTCTGATGTTACTATTATTATAACCAAGAGAGCAAGGTTTAATTTATTCAAAAATTTAAAGTAGGCAATTGATGACTGGTGTCTCTAGGAGTATCATCAGGCTAGTAAACAAAATATTTGCAACCACTGTACAGTTCTCCACTGTGAGCAATCAGCAATCTACTGTTCTTAAAAAACAACCATCACCAAACAAAGTCATGAGAGTAATCCATTCAGCCCGTTGCTATCTGCTACACTGAATATTTCATCAGAAATGACAAGACTTTTTCCTTCTCCCTCCCTCCCAACCCTGCTTTTTATATTTGCTCACTTGACAACTTGTCACTGCCACATCACTGCCACGCTGGCTGTCCTTGAAACCTGACCTCTGTAGCTTTTTGCGCCCAGTGGTCATGCCGTCCCTGTCTCACTCCAACCATTTCTGACAGGAGACATGCTGATCTCAACAGCAAGTCCTGGCACCTGGGACACACTGGGATTACACAGGTAAATCAGGATATTCCATGTTGTCTCCTAGCTAACAACAGAAGGAAAAATATGACATCTTGAACAACAGATCCTACATTCGCATATTCAAAAGATTCATCATGCTTTTACAAGCAGATGAGCAAGATTGTTCCTCCTTGCTCTGAGAGGACAAATCATATATACAAATAAAAAAAAAAAAAAAAAAAAGGAGAGAATACTTTGTTTTGATTTTAATTTTGGCAGAATTAAAGTGTCTGTTGTTGAGGAAGATGTTAGATAAAATAACTGATTAAAAATAAAGAAGGTGAAAAAGAAGGACTTGTTCACCAGTCTAAAACAATTTCTATTATGTCTTTTATTAGAAGCATCTGAGTTTATTTAGCTCTCTTGTGAACCATGTGTGCCTAATAACAGGTACGATTTGATTCCACAACAGTACAACCTACTTAAAAGAAGGTGTATTTGTAAAGAAAGGAAAGGTTTCCCTGTAAAATGGCATGTTTTTAAGTTTTTTTTGAAATGTCTGTGTAGAGAAGAACGTGAAGTATTTTGACTGAAATAAACACTTTCATGGAAAACAGTGAACCCTGGAGATTATGCCGATTCTTGAAGAACTTCATACTGTTTTAAGCAGGTGACAGTAATGTCATCGCCTGAGCTTTTTGCCTTCCACACTTGCACAACAAAAAAAAGTTTTAAATTGGACAGAAAAGCTCAGAACCACCCATGCAGACAACACCTTAGCAGAGGCTACAATTAACGTGCATCAAAAGCAGGTTATTGTTACCTCAAGGCCGATACTGCCTTTCACTATGAAAAAGCAGCAGTCACGCTATGCCTAAACTGAAAAAAAAAAAAAAAAAAAAAAGCAAAACCAGTTGGCATTTAATATATTTTCCTTGCAAGTATTTTAAACATCTTACACCACTACCTATGTCACAACCAAACCAGACCAGGCAACTTGGATATTCCCTACACTTTAGCACCGTTAATTGTTCCACAGGATATCATACAGAGCATATGAAATAATGAGTATTTTTTTCTTCTTTTTTTTTTTTTGTTTTTTTTTATAAGAAGATGCCTGTAAGGACAGCATTTAAATATATTTTTCTGTACATTTTCAGTGATCCATTTCTCAGTTATCTTTTGCCCTTCATAAATACCTCTAGAAAGACCCTGGATTTCTTTAAAACATTTGTTCCTAAAATAATTCATGCCCTAAGAACATGACATCATGTTTGGTGATGTCTCAAAGGCTAATAGTAGCTAGCAAACCACATTTTAGATTCAATATTCTTTAAAAAATAAAAATAATATTAAAAAATCCAAAATAAATGTACTAACACGCATGTGCTTTTTCAAAAATATGTGTTATATTAATTATGACAGATCAAAATCATGGACTTCTGTTTGAATAAGAATCTTAATGCACATGGGCTACATAGCATTCCCTCTCTATGTCTCACACTAACAATTACTATGTATTCATAAGTTTAACAGCCTATTCAAATTAAAATATCCAACATTAGCTCCTCTGTGAGTTGTATGCATTCAAGAAGGAATACACCCTTTAGACACTGTTCACTGAAGAAAAGAAATAGGAAAAGAAAAAAAAATTACAGGAAGTATTTCATTCTGTCTTTTTATCTGTATATGCTTCAGGCAACTGAAAGTAAACTACACCCGTTTTCACTTGTCACAGATCAACTACGTGGACACACAATCTTTTGCAAACATCACTTGTTTTAGTTAAGCACTTCTCTATAGTTATTATCAAACAAACTTCAAAAACAGATCATTCCTTCCTATGCAGATGTAGAAAATAGTCTTTTACTTTTTTTATATATATTATTTTTTTTTGAAAAATTAATGCAACCATGAGCTTGAGTAGGAAAATTTATCACATCAACCACAAGTTCACAAGCTCAGGTGAGAATGAACATCCAGGTATTTCAAGCTACAAACCAGAGCACGCAAGTACACAGTTGCTCCATAACCCCAAGTCTACATTCAGGGATGAGAACCAATAGAAGTCCCAAGCAAGTTCTTCCATGCAGTGAGTGTAACTTTCAGCCTCTGATCTTTCATGGAAGAAAATTTTGATTTTAAGACAATTCCATTGTTTTTTTCACTGCTTAATTAAAGGTGGCAACAGTTTGTAAGGTGGTTTATGAGTCCAAGAGAAATTTTAATTGTTGATGTTTGAGGTTATGAAACTGGAGAAGATGACATAACTGTGTTTATTTGTTGTTGTTTTCCTGTGAATGACATCCTGTCTAATTCTGACAAAGGAATCCCCTCCTTTACAGAGAGCTAATACAATTCAGGAGCAAAATTATATTAGCATACTGCATGCTGCTCTCAGGGAGCATGTTTTTAGTGATGAACTTTGTGAACTAGAGAGAGTTCACAGCAGGTAAGAACGTTCTAAAAAGGTCCAGGCATACCTTTGGCTGAGAAATGCTTTTTGAAAAGAGTTAACACCTACTGCAATCTGCTCCAGTGGAGAACGAAAAGAAAAACATGAAAACCTGTATTCTTTCAAAGCACGTTTATCTGACCACTCATCAGGATAGCTTTAACAATCTTGCTTTAACTGCATCCTCTTGACTGTGAATTGGTAGTGAATTCACAGAGCAACAAAATTCTTGCAGAATTTAACCCCTTCTGCGAATACTCCAAGATGCAACTGAATAATCGGTGCAATGTAACTGATCAGCAACACTTAAGACAGTTGTGCTTGAAAACATATGTAACCAAGTAGCAGCAATGATGGCACTTTTCTTTCAGAGTAATTTATGACATTTGTCACTTCTGTTATTGAAGCCCATCTTTCTACCAGTGTGCTCCCTGAGCAAATGCATGAATGCTTTCATCACAGTGTATCATGTTCTGCAGCATGCCTGGAAAAGCACTACTGTCCCAGGCTCAGAGGTTTCCTCAAGTGCAACTTTCTCATTGCACTACTGGTGAATTTTTCCATTGGGCTTCTGTGCAGTCCAAAAGCACATTCTTTCTCTACAGATTTAAGAAAACATCCATGTTCTTTTAAAGTTCTTATGCTTGCATATAAAGTAGAATCTCCAGCCACTCACGTTCATGTGTTATGTGGATAAGGATGCAAACTCTAAACTTCTCTGTCCGGCACAGAGAGCATTTGTTACCACTTGACTCTACAAATTACAGGAGCAGAGACATGCATAATATCATGTAAATAAAACCTAAGGAAGCTAAAGGCTCTAAAGAAAAAAAATAAATAAATCACCTTCCACTTCTAGGAACACACATTGTTAAAAATTGTATTTCCAAAAGTCATATTCCAAAAAAGCTAGCTATGCTCCAAAATATGATAACAAAAAGGATGTGGTTAAAATCAAAGTCTTCAAAATAGCCCAGCCTCTGCCAAAACAGCTGTGATAGATTTTTATTCTGCAGTAACAGGACCACAGATTTAAAATAAATAAATAAATAAAAATCAACCTATATCTACCTATTTTTAACTGATCTAGCTGTCACGAAGTCAGCTGTAACACTGACCCAGGTCATTAGCCAAGAAAGAAGTGTCATTCATTAGAGCTAAAAGTCCAAATGAGTATCATTAGGCTTCATAGCTTCAGATCCTTCTTACACTTCAGGAATATGTAACAACATTAAATTTAAAGGAAAAGGGAGTCCGAATTTTTCCAAACAGATTATATTTTCTAAATGTAGGAAGAATAATCACCAAGAGCTCTTAGCAAATGTGTGTCAGGAGTTGATGATAAGATTCTCAAAGCAGGATTCCTGAATATCTCTGGGACTTGGTTTGCAGCACACTCCGCTCTGTGTTTCTCTGTTTCCATAACAAACTCACATTTCTTCAGCTTTAATTAATGTTTGACATATTGAGTGCTGATCCCAGATCATAACCTTTCCATACCTTTACAAATGTTCGTTTCTTTTGCAGCAGATCATAAAGTTCAAGGGCATAAGTAGATGTACTGTGATTCAGCCATATGATTCATGTGAATTCTGCTTTGCTTAACAGAGTCAGGAAGCCCTCCCTTCCCCAGGAGAAAAAGAGTTCAATTCATAAAATACTAATAGCTTCATTATGCATTCTCAGAGGCTGAGCTACGCTGGGGTGTTGAGAAGGGCAGAGCTGGAGAAAAATGGTCACATGTTTACAAGTCCAGCTTCAGTAACACTATGATGTCAGAGTAACAACTTCCATTTGGATCAAGTGTGCGACTTTTTGCTTTCTTACATTTCAACTGAACATTTAACATAGGTGCACTACTACACAGACACTAAGCTGCATGCATGAAGTCTTTAAAAAACAATAGAGATTTGGACTGATGCATTCATCTCAACTTTGAAACCCACTGCTCTGGAGGTCCCAACAATAGCAGACTTTGTAGACAAGTCTTAATAGCCATGTTGAAGCAGAAGTATCTGCAGAAGGAGAATCTAATCAAACTGCTGACCTTTGCTTGGTGGTGCTATGGCAGTATAGCTACAGAAAGTCCAGCTACAAAACCTAAACCACCTCTCAGTGAAGATGCCAATTGAACGGTTTAGGTAGTGCTACTTATCCAATCCTTTTCTACTTTACCCTCTGATTCACATTTCCTCACTACCTACTTACATGTTTCTGTGCAGAAATCATATATTAGTTAATATATATTACAGTTCCACATTTCAAAATTTCTGCGTACACGATTTTGTATAAAGATGATATCCTCACAAAATGCTGGCCACTAGCCTAAGGCAAACCAGTTGAATCAGGTTCAGTTTAAGATTGAAATACCAAAACTTAGATCTCTCCATGTTCACTAGGTTTCTCCACAAATGCAACAAAGATCGAGCAAATGAAGCCTAAGAGCTAATGAGTTCACCAGGAATATGATACGTGCTGTAGGTTGAGCCACATCACTACATTCATTCCATTGACAGTACTGATTGCACTTCTATTAAAATAGGCTTAGACAATAACATGTAGACACCAGTATTTATGAATTCATATTCAAAGATGAACC